TTTTTAAGAAATCACGTTATCTGCTAAGTGTTTGCTTTCTAGAATTCTGAAATTATCCATCCTATGGAATAACGCTGATGCTGCTGCTGCTCTAATGTTTGCTAAGCATCAAGTGCCTGGCCCTGGAATAAGCACTTCACATGCATTCTCTTATTCAGTGCTCACATCATCACCTTCAGGTGATATTATATTCCCCAGTTTACAGGTGAGCAAACAGAACATGTTAGCTCACGTTAACATAAAACATTTACTTCTTAAAAGCCTCACTTTAGATACCAGTGAATGACTTAAGCCCAGAGAAACACATAAGTATAAGACTTTAGAATAACTGATTTAATAAAAATATTGCAATGGAATGACTCAGGACCATTCAAAGAATAAAAAGTACTCAAAGCAAGTACAAGTACAAATAAAGAGGGTCAGAAGCCCTCTCATCATGAGCAAAACCTACATTTCCACAGTCATATCTAGTAAAGTTTTATTCAAGTTACCTCTCAAAGTCTAATTCACTCAAAACATCTCCCAGGAAGGCCAACAATAGTGTTTAAATAGCTGTGAAAGTCCACTAATCATAGAAACATTATATCCACTTTCCAATAAACTTGATTTTCATTTTCAATGTATTTTCCTTCTACATTATGGTTTACAATGAATTATCACAATTAATCCACCCACTTCACACTCCCTATGGGGCCCACACTGTGGTATTTTACTTGTAACTGTTGCAGTCACTTCAATATGTAAGAACTTCTATTAACACTCATATTTAGAAATAGGGCTATCTATAGTAAATTTTCTCAATCTTCTTATTCAAAGGGAACACGAAGATTCAAATGTAGATCTGGATCAGAGTCCTACACGGTGAACCATTAAGCTTCATAAAGTTGTTTGATTTGCTCATAGTGTCTGATACCCTTGATCAAGCATTAGCTTTAAAAAGCTCAATTCACTTAGTTTACTCTTTATTTCCACTACTCCTTTATTTTCAAATATTTTTGCTTCATGTTTTTTCTCTCCCACAGCCATATCTAAAAAGTATTGCCTTTACCACATAAGACAAACTCCATTAAAGTTTGTTGAATTGAAGAGATAACATGATTGCTATGCATACTTTTTATTAATGATGTATGACGACCTCTGCTTTGGTGACTAGTTCTGCAACTCAGGCAAGCACCAGTAAATGATCCAAGTTCTGCCTGGCACTGTAAAAATGTAACATGTTTTCTAAAGTCCTCTGCAGCAGTATGACAAAGCCCACCAGATGTCAGTCTCCCTTCATGTTAAACAGACCATCTTTCCCCACCTACACTTCTTCCTTTGTTTGTGTCTAAATCTGATGCTAAAATTCTTAATTTTATGCCATATATATGTGTGTATATATATATATATATATATATATATATATAAGCTTTTGATGCAAAAAAAATTAATACAGGAGTCCTGTGTTTATGTCTTAGTACTGTTGCAACCACCGAGATTATCTCAGGCTCTCTTCACTCAACTATTTCCTACTTTCTCCCATACTTTCTTCCGTAACTTGTTCTCTTGTTTTTCCATATCATAACTCACATTTAAATGATTTAAATGAAATAACACTATTATCTCACATAAAGCATGAAATCTGAATTTTGAAACTCAGTACTTTAAAGTTTAAAATCATTTTATCACTAAAACAAAATGCTGTCCATGGTATTTATTCCAAGGCTGACAAAAGACTTTAGAAACCTAAACTTAAAAATAAATTCCCATTTAAAAAATCATTGACTAAAATCAATAACTGTCAAAGTCCAACAAAAATGTCAGACAGTATACATGTTTTGTTCTGAGACAGTTATTAAACAAACAAAGAAAGAAAGAAAGAGAAAAAGAAAACTCAGGCAAAAATAGTGATTTTGCCCCACACTTTTGGTCTGGTGGTTTTTATGTTATATACCAATTATTTTAAGATTCAGTGAGCATCCAAGAATGGTATTTTATTTCTCCGACTGCTACTCTACTGCCCATATTTTAACCTCATTGAATTTTTGGTCCATTGCGTAGAAGAATTTCTCTACTAATAAAAATACAACCCATTAAAGATTAACTTGCCCCTAGCACAGTCTCTCTGAAAACAAATTCCAAGCATTATAATCACCAATTTGCACTCTTAATACTTAAGGACAACTATCTTATTGTTCTGATTTAAACTGGAAAACTACATCTGATATTTTAAAACTACTATAAAAAGATAAATCTCTAATCCAAGATAAATCTCTAATCCAAATTCACAATAATTACAAACCCAACCAACTACATCTTTACTTGATCTTTTTCAAATGAAGTTTTCTACCCAAAAATATCTACCAATATTAGAAAACCTGTTGATTTATCAGACTTACTACCTTGCTTTTTATCTACTCTACTTCTGTAATTGTGAACTTGCAAAATCCTTCTGTTCCCCAACCATTTATTAAGTATATGTCATATCTCGTAAGTCATGGTAGGAGCTAGAAATCACCTGAACCTCTGATGTAATACTTTAATAATGGGATGAGAGTGATGGCACATGCCTGCAATCCCAGCACTCAGGAGGCAGAGGTAAGGAGGATCGCCACAAATTCAAGGTCAGCCTAGGCTACATAATAAGTTCAAGGCCAGCCTAGGCTGTAAGCGAAACTTGTCTCAAAAAAAAATTAATAATACAAGAAAATGGTATTTGTGAAGCTATTATTTACCAACACTGTCACAAGTGTTAGCTTATTAAGAAGTATCTCTCTTTCCATGCAAATAAAACTCTAAGAAAAAGTGTCCAATATTAGCCCTATGTTGCTAATAGGACTATTTGCTAATAGAGGGGAAAACTTCAGGGCAAGGCAAGACTCAGGCACTTTCCCCAAGGTCCCATGGAGATAGGAAACCAGCTCTGCCTGACTGCAATACTCATTTTTTGTGTGATCACCTAGTATTAAGCATCAAGGCACATTATTACATTTGATTTGGAAAACTAGTGTCATTCTTTGAAACATGGTAGTTTTGAGCAATTTGATACTGGAAAACATGCATCCTAAAATGACCTGGCATCCTGTGCACTGCGTCCGATTGTCAAACGCGTTCAAAGCTTACTTTCACACAAGGAGTAATCCATTTACAGATGATCATGGAAAGTTAAAACTACTGTGCCCAACACTAATTGAACATTTCACTACATACAGACTACTGAAGAAGTGCTAACTCTAGTAAGACTTTCTATACAAGAAACTTAACTTTAAAACCGCAAAGCAATTTTCCAATCACTGGATTTGAGAATTTCCTACCTACAGAATAGCCTCCAAATTTTAAAAATGTTTCATTCATATTTCATTGTATTCAAAATGAAAATGTGTTAATTTTAAAAAGAACTTCTAAAGTACAGGTTATACCTATAGTGGCTTCAGTCATTACACCGACAGGGTTTGCTGTCATTAAATGTGCATGGATAAAGACGACGTGACATTTCACAATCCTATTTTTTAAAAAAAGATCATTAATCCTTCACATCACTCCAAACTCATGTAGAAAAACAAACTGGAAACCTGCCGAAAAAGAAGAGTATGTTATCTTACCCAGTTCAATTCCTTTTCTAACATACATTTTTGCATGCTCTATAATCAGAAACCGGCAAAAAGAAGCCTGGAATAAATAAATAAAATTAGTTACAAAAATGCAACACGGGCTTTAGTTTTCAAATCCGTTTTTGCAATACTTTTATTTGAAAAGTTTATCACAGATGTAATTCTCCTAGAAGTTGCATAACTTGGGGGGAAAATAGAGACAGGACAACCATTAGGGGTGTTTATCAATAAAAATAAACAACAAGGGAGACAAATTTGTAACATATCCAAAAACGCTTGCCAAACACTCCTGCTATTTGTTTCGTTTCCACCGAGTTATTGTTTTGGAAAACATGTTGTTCTTTCTTAAAATAACCTGCGTAATTGTTTTAAAACGCCACTGCATTTCCATAGAGGGCTAACTTGCTCCCATATTGCAATATATTGACTGATAAAGTCAAAATAAGCTATGCAGAAAGCCACGAAACTAAAACAATTTTGGAAAGCTCCAGTCCTCAAGTGATAAAAGGGCACCAGCTACTGAATGAATCTTCACCACCTCCCTTAGTGAGATCAGCTTGGCCCTCTGCACAAACCTTCAGAATGACAGTCATTCAAACTACCACATTTCAAAACTTCCATGGATGTGGGAAATGAGCCACGCAGATGGCCACAGGTAGGCTGGTAATTAACATTTTTAAGGAAGGTGAGAATGACCTTGGAGGTTTTAGCGTTCACTCCAATTGTCAGATTATAAATCACACTGTGTTTCCAGTCCAATGTGGTCAAAGCTTTCCTGCCAGGGGAAAGTCCCCGAGAAACTCTGAAGAGTTTACAGGAAAAAGAAAAAAGATCCCAAATTATGAAAGACAAAGACATCACCGCTCAAGAAGACTTTCATGAACCGAATGTGACTCAAGACGTATTTCATTCTCTTGTCAAGGGATGAACACACACTGTCCTCAAACACGGCAGCAGCGCCCAGCACCGGGCTGCCCGCCCCACCCGGCCCTCGGCTGCAGGGGGTGGGGAGCTCGCTCTTAAGCCTTGACATCTGCTGAGCGTTTCCCAATGGCCAGACCAGGCCCCTCAGCTGGAGGAAGTAGATCCTGACAAGCAGTGAGAGAGAGACGGACAGAGCGCCAGAGCTGGAGCCCGAGAGTCCAGGGAGTGGGCGTCTGCCGCGTCCCGATGACACAGCTCGGGAGTCCGGGCTCCAGGCGGCATCTCAGAGTCTAAATCTGAACCGGGCGCCCGGCACAAACTCTGGGCCTCCAGCGCCCCAGCAGTGCCGGAGCGCGGAGGGGGCGGAGGGTGGGGTCCCGCCAAGTCCCCACGCCCGGGGTCCTCGCTGCTCCGCCGCGCAGGGCCGGCGCGGGCGCCGGGGAGGAGGGCTCCCCCGTGGGGAGCCGCGACGCGCGACATGCCTACCTTGTAACATGGCTTCAAGTTTCTTTCTGTCCACGCGGAAGCGCTCCTCGCTCCACTCGGGGCAGTGCAGGGGCGCCCCGGCGCCCAGGTCGTCCTCCGAGCCGGGCACGGGCGAGTCGGTGCTGCGCTCGCTGTTGGAGCCCGGGTCGGACTGCGCCGCCAGGTAGCCGGGCTCGCCCTGGGCGGCCATGGTGGGCGCGCAGCCCTCGCGCTCCGCGTGCGCCGCCGCCGCCAACGCCAACGCCGCTCGCCCGCCGGGCCGCGCTGGCTCCCCGCGCCGCGACGCTAGCTCTGCCCCCCGCGGCCGCCGACGCCGCCGCCGCCACGGAGCCCCCGGCGCATCCCAGCCCCGGGCGCCGCCCCCGCCGCCCGCCTCGGGTCGCGGCCCCGGTCCGGCCGGCAGAGCCCGCGCCGAATGAGCGCGCCGGGCCGCCCGCGCCTCCATCCGCAGGGCCCCGGCCCCCTCCCGCCGCGCCCCCGCAGCCGCGCGCTCATTGGCCCGGGCGGCCCACGGGGAGCCGGGCGGACGCGGGCGGGCCTGGCCCTCGCTCACACGCGCGCGCACACTCACCACGTACACACCGCCGGTCCGCGCCTACGCTCCCGCGGTCTGTTCTACTCAGGGACACTCCTGGCCCTTCAGACGCCGGCCAAGTTCAAGCACAGCACGCTGTTGAATGCGCAAGTAATGCTTCACCTATGTATGCATCCCTTACACGTTACCACTTTTCCGCGCTTAAATGGACAAATTCCACCCCCTTAACCATTTTCACAAGTCGCCTCCAAACGTAAGACACGTGTCAGAGATCCAGCGCAGCTTACTCTTGGGGTGCACACAAGGCCTCTTCTATTTACACAGCTGCTCTGCACCCTAGAACTCAGCCTGGTCTGTCCCACAAGTTGGGAACCAGAGGACAGAGAAGAGAAGGCTTGGAGAGAAGAGCCCTTTTCCGCACACATCAGATGGGCAATTTGCTTGTGACGCATACCTCCACTAAAAGGTTCCACACAGACCCCTGAGACTCAGTAGGACAAGAAAGAGGCTGTCTCTTGTTAAGGTGCAGGAAGGGTTTGGGAAAAGAGTTGCGTATTTGCTTTCCTTGAACAGGAAAGAGTCACTTCATTTGTGATTCTCAAGAAATGGACTAGCGATGGCATAGAAGAAGGGCACAAAAAGGATTTAAAAAGCTGGAGGATGGCAATGCTGGTAGTGAGCTGGCCAGATTAGCATCCTGGTCTGGCTGTGTGGTTAGACACTTGAGGGTTGCTGTTCTCAGCCTCTCAGAGATGATGGCGAGGCCTCTGGTCTTCACCGCAGGGCCAGCCTTCCAACTGCCTGTCTTGTACTCTGGTAGGGGGAGCACCAGGGAAGAGAAGGCTCACTAGCACCAGATACGCCAAGCCTCTTGAAATTCTTTTTCCATATTCACGTTTTATGCCCTCTTTCGCTTTATGATCAAAATCGCAATTTTGTTGTCCTTAGTGGTGGTGGTTTAATTCGTGGGAGGAATATGGAGGCAGCCATCTGCCACTGTGCCACACAGGGTAGTTTACTAGCTTATATGTGGCACAAATCATATCACTGGCATGAGCCTGTGAATAATCATGTAATATGCTTGAGGCAAATCAAACTTTTTATAGGCCCAGTGCTTAGTTAGCAAGAATTGACTCCATGTTGGGTACCATGCTGTAATTACAGACAAGAAAACTAAGACTATGAGAAGGCAAACTGACGTGACCTAATGGGGCAGGAAGCAAAGGCACTTCTGTGTGTGTGATACATAATCTCCATAAAATCCTTCCGTGAGCAGAGAACACTCCTGCTCAAAGGGACCTCCAGATGAACCTTAGAAGGTACATGGTTTAACTGCCCTCACCACCGTGTGTTTCTTATCTAAATATTAATTTCTGTCACTGATACTCTAAAAGACACTAGTTTCACATCAATAAGGCCCACTGCCTTCCACTGGCAATGTTTACCATATTTTTCTGACAAAAACAATACTTTTATAGGGGCCTGGCTTTGTTCTGGGCTGTGTGGTTAGGCCCAAGGAATACTGGACAAAGACAGATACACTCCCTGTGCTCCTGGAGTTGACATTCAAATGAGAACAAAAAAAAAACTGACCCCTAAAATTAATAAGAGACTTATAAAGTTGTTGCTATAATACTATAAAAAGGAGATGCAAGGTATGAATGAGAAAAGCCAGTAATGAAGTAACCCGATTGAGTCAGAGGTCAGTGAAGCTTATCAGAAAAAATGACTCTGGAACTCAAGAAGTTTTAAAAGACAGGAAGGAGCATCATCCCATTGTTTGTGCCTCATAACATCCCTGAAGATAGGTAGCTATGACCATTGTCATCACTTCACACCAGAGGAAACCGAGGCACAGAAGGTAGAATAACTTACCCACGGTCACCCAGCAACATTGTGCAAGCAGAAATTGAACTCAAGCAATCTCCCTTGAAAATTAGACTTTAGGTGTTTTACGCTTAGCTGGTAAACTACGCAGTTCTCAGAAGATTAGCATACGCAGAGAGTCTAAGCAAAAAAGATAATTAGGTTGGAGGAAGGATCATGAAGTCATCAGGCAGGTAGAGGATGAGGTGCTATTGAGAACCCCAAGAAGAAATGTCAAGGAGACAATTGTTATGTGGGTCTGGAGTTCAGTAACATGTTGGCAGAGAGGGAAAAATGTGTTTTTTATTTGCTTATAAGTGATAATTCTAGCCATATGCAAAGGTAAAACTGCAGAAGGAGAAGAAAGAAAAAAAGAGAGAGAACTAAGGAAAGGACCTTTTTTAAAAAATCCCAACAGTTAGGTCTGGGAGTTTAGCTCAGCAGCATAAATTCCTGCTTGGCAAATGCAAAATTGTGAGTTCAATCCCCAGTACCAAAAAATAAAAAAGATTTTATAATTCCAACAGTTAATGGTAAAGTGGAACACAGCATAGGGCTGGGGATTTAGCTCAATGGCACAAGCACCTGCCTGGATGAGGTAGTGAGTTCAATCCCTTGTAAACACACACACACACACACACACACACACACACACATACAGCATAATGTGGAAAAAAAGACAAGTTTTGTCATGTAAATCACAGAAAAGACTTTCAAAAATGAAAATATGATCATCTCTGTACAATTAAGAAGATCACCATTTTCTTTTATGGAGGTCACTTGACTTCAGCAAGAAAGCCATAGTGGAAGCATTAAGGAGTAAGATATAAGCTAATGAAATAAGGAGCAAAGTCACCTCTTAGGAGGTGTTTGGCCTCGAAGAAGAGGAGAGTTCATTAGCTAACAAATCATGTGGATAGGAAAGAGTTGTTTGTTCTTTATTAGTTGACAGTTTTTTGAGGTTTGAGCATGTAGAAAAATGACTTGAAAACATCCAGTTGATCAAAATTGGATGTTCAAAAAAAAAAGAAGAAAAGAAACTACAGAACTTTTAGAGCATAAACAAAATAGATTTCATGACATAAGCAGGGAGAAACAGCTCATTGGGTGAATAGATAGGTACAAATATAGACCAGTTTATACATTTCATTTCTAGAACACAAGAACTCCCATCTTATGGCTTTTATTTTCCCAAAAGAATAAAAGTCAAGAATATCTGCTAAAAGTGTGGGAGAAAGAGAGCTCTCAAGGATTTGAGGAAAAAATAGATTTTGTTTGCTTGGCATTTGAGGGCTTTTTGATTGGCCTTTTGTTGCTGTAAAAGAACGAATTGGCACTGTCAAGAGTCTAATTGATGTTGATAAATTTAACAAGATTAAACTGCTTGCCCTGTGATTTTCTCCAACAGTGTTCAGTTTCATGGTTGTAGGACAGAGAAAACACAAGAGGAATCCTGCCAAATGGATGCAGCAGCAGAGACCAGAAGACAATGCATAATGGAAAATAATTTCCAACGTAGACGTTTATACCCAGCCAAACTATCAACCAAACATGAAATTAAAATTTATCCTTAGGTATAAGACATCGCAAAGAACTTATCATTCTTATACCTTATCTAATGTATATATTATAGGTTACATACCACCAAAAATGAGAGACAAGATAAAAACATACAGAAGGAGGCTCCATGATGCAGATCCACACCTTCCCACAAGCCAGCCACTGTGCAGTCTGGGAAACCAGAAGAGCATGCCATGACCCCTCTCACGGTAGCAACTGGCTGATTTGGAGGACTCAGGGTGAGATGATAGCAACTGAGGTGAAAGGAGCAGCTTGATGCTATATTGTTTGGTTGACCTTGCAGACCTGGGGCTAATGGTCTGGGCATCTACTTGGACAGTGTGTATTGTGCCAACTGTAGGGGATTTCCTCCCATCTTATTTTTGAAATCCAATTTTTGTTCCCTTTTACTGTTTGGTTTTGTTTATGTGACTAAGCAACTACTTTGAAGATAGCAATGTGCAGTATCACAATCACTGTTAAATTCTTACCATCATGTTTTGAAAATCTATATATGGCTGGGAATTTTTTGTTCTTTGACATTTTACTTTTGTTGTTTTTTAGGTTTGTTTGCTTCTTGATTTATCTGTTTTTTTTTCTTTTTTATCTTTAAAATAAAATAAAAGATGAACACATACAATAGGGAAAGCAAAAGATCTGACATATATTTAAAACAAAGGGACTCCTTAGGATGATAGTGCAAGAAGAATTCAAATTGGAATAGCTCAGAAGTCTCATGGTTGAGATTGATGATATTAAATACAATTCTCAAAGTATGTGAACATATTCAGAGGAGACTGAGATAGTTAGTGAGGACTTCGGGATTAAATTAGTGATTAAATAGGCTAAGCATATTGCTAACACCAGCATGCTTGTCTAGCGGTTCCATCCCTAGCACTGTAAAATAAAAAATAATAGATGGCCAGCAATTGGATCATAGAAAACTATGCCACCCAGAAAATGACAGTTGTTAACTCCAAATATAAAGCAAAGTCAAAATAATCATTGGCAATATAGCTGAGCTATAGTGATTATTTATATAATTATGATAATGTAAACTATGAATATTGATCAACCTACATAATCCAACTAGATTATACTGAGCAGTAAACATGTGTGGAGCTTTCTGTGTGGAGGAGGTCAGTGGTTTAAGAAATCATATCCCTAAGGGAGTATCAATACATAATGCTAAAACTCTTTAAAAATCAAAAGTAGCAATACGCACATATTATTTGGAGATATAGAATCAACCAAAAATTTTGGAAGTGCTTGCCTGTGGAAACAGGAAATGGGTAGAAGGCATACGATACTTTTGTTTTTTATATCAGTCTTCCAAGACAATTTGATTCTTTAAGCCATATGAGTGCATAACTTTAATTTTAGAAGAGAAGTAAAATAACACATGCTTATTGAAGTGGAAATAAATAGCAAAATCTTGAATTC